TGAGTAAAGACATCTTGGCTCAAGTAGTCGCGGATCTGATTTCAAGCCCGGCAAAATTCAGCCTTCAACTCGACGAAACCACAGACGTTTCTGATCTAAGCCAGCTTGCTGTTTTTGTACGCTATGTGAAAGACGACATGATAAAAGAAGAGTTTTTATTTTGTAAGCCTCTTACAACAACAACGAAGGCAGCCGATGTGAAGAAGCTTGTGGATGACTTCTTCAGAGACAACAATCTTTCATGGGATATGGTTTCTGCAGTTTGTACGGACGGAGCTCCAGTCATGCTGGGAAGAAAGTCTGGTTTTGGTGCGCTAGTAAAGGCCGATGCACCACACATCATTGTGACGCATTGTATTCTGCACAGGCATGCGTTGGCAACAAAAACCTTACCTCCAAAAATGGCAGAAGTATTAAAAACTGTGGTGGAATGTGTGAACTATGTGCGAAAAAGTGCTCTGAGGCACCGCATCTTCAGTGAGCTGTGTAAAGAAATGGGCTCAATTTGAGGTACTTCTGCTCCATTCTAATATTCGGTGGTTATCCCGGGGACAGGTGCTGAATCGTGTTTTTGCCATGCGTGTGGAATTAGCCCTGTTTTTGCAAGAGCACCAACACTGCCATGCAGATTGCTTCAAAAATCCTGAGTTCATTCTCATTTTAGCGTACATGGCCGATATATTCGCAGCTCTCAATCATCTCAATCAGCAGATGCAGGGTGGTGGAGTCAATATCATGGAAGCGGAAGAACACCTGAAGGCTTTTCAAAAAAAGCTACCGTTATGGAAACGACGAACAGAGAACAATAACTTCGCAAACTTCCCGCTTCTGGACGACTGTGCAAGTAAGATCGAAGATGTGTCTGGAATCGGAGATATTTCTGTATCCACGGAACTGAAGCAAACAATTGCCACGCACTTAGATGAGCTTGCAAAGTCTCTCGACGGATATTTCCCTACAAGAGAGTCATATCCAGCATGGGTGAGACAGCCGTTCACGTTTGCTGTTGAAACAGCAGATGTCAATGATGAATTCCTCGACGAAATCATTGCAATTCAGCAGAGCCAGGTTCAACAGCAACTCTTCAGAACAACAACGCTCTCAACGTGTTGGTGTCGACAAATGAACAAGTATCCAGTTATTGCTAAGAAAGCCCTGGATTTTTTTATACCATTTGTTACAACATATCTTTGTGAGCAATCCTTTTCGAGGATGCTGGACATAAAAACGAAGAAAAGGAACAGACTTTGCTGTGAAAATGACATGAGAGTGGCACTTGCCAAGGTGAAGCCACGCATATCTGAACTGATCTCTCAAAGGCAACAGCAGAAGCCACATTGATTTCCAGGTATGTAATTTGTTGTGAGTTTATGCATTGTGTTGGTTTTATTCTTTGAACAAGGTAATGTTCATGCACGGCTCATTTTGTGTACCAGTAAAAAACATATCTATGTCTTGAATTTGAAAAAAATCACATTTTATTTTTCACTAAAGAGGGGTTCGGTGAATGCGCATATGAAACTGGTGGGGTTCGGTACCTCCAACAAGGTTAAGAACCACTGCTCTAGGGTTTGGTGTTACATGTTATTATTTATGTAGTTTATTGTAAAAATTCGGTCACAGCCCCTGTTAGACTGATGGCCTTCATCTAAGTTTTCTTGTGGTTGTTGTTGTTGTTGTTTGACTTGCATCCCACTGGGATTTTTTGCACACAGCGTTGGTGTACGGTGCCTTTTCAGGAATATTTTGCTGTTTTTTTTAGGGATTTTCTGTTTTGCACAGTCAACACATAGTCACTTTAAGATGTTTTTCTTGACTCCGGATCGCCTTCAGTACTTCCTCAACAGATGGCACCTCAGGCAGCCACTCACAGGGGGTGACTTCTTCCAATATTTGAGGCACCGCAGCCTCAGCAGGGTCATCCTCACTTTGTGCCACGATGTTTTCCTGGCTGAGGGATTTCCCCTCCCCCAGGAGCTCACAGAAATGCTCAGCAAATCTGCAATCCTGTTCCTGGGGGTCGGAGATTGGATCACCGTTTTTTCCCCTAATGATGGTAATAGGTGTGGCGCTGCAGGTTACTTTTTCGATGGAGTTAAATAGAGATTTGTGATCACGGGCCACTGAGGCAGACTCCGTGCTGAGGCAGACTCCGTCTGCCTCAACAACCCGCGACCACCACCCATCCTTGCAGCGCCTCACGGCTCTCCAAACCTCCAAGCGAAGGCTGCGGTAAGCCTCCTCATTCTGACGTCGGATTCTGTAGCCGATGACAGTGGGCCTGTCGCTTTTTCGCAACTATCCTGAACACCTCCTCTGTCAGCCAGGGTCTCTGGGGAGGTCTGGACCGCGTACCCAAAGCAGCCAATGCAGCTGCATGAGTCACAGTCCTAAACCTCGCCCATTTACCCTCGACATCAGGAGGAGTGGGGGACGATGCCAACCCCAGCCGCAAGCGATGATGAAATTCTCGCTTGCAACTTTCATGAGATAATTGAGACCAGGCCACTTTAGGTTGGAATGGGGTCCTGGGTGTACACCCACCACCGGAGCGGAAGGATGGGCGGCGCATCTTACAGATGACTAGTCGATGGTCAGAGGGCAGATCAGCTCCACGGTAGGTCCTGGTGTCAAGGAATGGGCTCGCATCAGCTGGTCCGTCACTATGTAGGCCAGCAGATGTTCTTGCTTGGACCCTGCATGCATCCATGATGTTGTGTGGATGCGCCGATGCCGGAACAGCGTGTTGGCAATTACAAGCCCATGGGCTGCACAAAAATCTAGCAGCCTCCTACCGTTGTTATTGAGCTGATCTGGCCCATGCCCTCCAATCACTCCAGACCAGGTGCCAGCATCATGACCAACTCGGGCATTGAAGTCACCCAACAAGATGACTTTCTCGAGGGGCCACTTTAGCCAGCACCTGTGACAGGAGGTCATAGAAGGCATCTGACTCATCGGCTTTGCCTGCATCCCTCTACGGATGTTTGTCTTCGGTGGGGGAAAAGTAACCACGACCACCACTCCTCGCCTCCGGTTGATGGGAAGGCGAGCCCAAAGTAGCCTGGGGCTTACAGCTTCCCACACCTCACCGCCACGCTCCCACGCCCCCTTCATTCTTTTGTTCAGAAGAGCCACTCCCTGGTGTTTGGCAGTCTGCTGCCCCGAGTAGAGGACTGTCCACCCCTCATGGTGGCAGGAGCCAGAGCCGGTCCACCGGACCTCCTGAATGCCACAGAGATCCAGGCGGTACCGGTCCAGCTCCCGACAGAGGAGTGGCAGCCTCTCCTTCGCAGTGAGCATTCGAACATTCCACGTGGCCACACGAAGTGGCTTTTTGTTGTTTCTGGAGGAGCCCCGAGGGTAGATATTCAATCTCCTGGCTCCGCCAATTGGGGTTTGGCCAGGAGACGTCATAGACGCCTGGCCCCTCGGGGTCTCCGGCACAAGCTTATTAGTTATATACTTAAAGCACGGTTTAGTGGTAATTTATTGAAGGTGGAGGGGTTACCAGCCCCTCGCACCCGTCCAGAGCCCCCGTTTAGCCATTGTGGTGGTCACAGACGCCATGAGGGGAGGAGCCAATCGGAATTGGCCCTCCCCCCACAGCACTGTCCACGACAGAGTTGCCCGTCCGGCACCGCGAGGAGGTAGGGGGTTGCTTTTCCGGACACACACACAGACACACACACAGATACACACACAGACACACACAACAACAACAACCGCCATTCACCACTAAGTGGCGGTGACGTCACCACGACGCTTGTGCCAGGCTATGTGCACCCTGAGGCCACGTGAAGTGTCGAACGCCCGCTGGCAGGAGGTCACGGGGCAGACCCAGCAGGTGCCACGGGTCGACTGACTGAGATGACTGGCTGATGCACCACCTGTGCCCCCTACTGTGCCAACCTGCTGTGCTTTAGCCACCCGGCGCTCCGCTCGTTGTTGTGAGCGTCGCTCCTCCGCCCTCCGTTGTTGTTGGAGGGCGACTGCCTCCAACTGCCCAGTAGCATCCTTCACGAGCCTCCTCCACAGAGGCCGATCTTGACACCGCTGGTACCAGTCATCGACAAGTCCACTCAGCTCCACGTCCTCCTGTACCACATCACTCCATCTCTTCTCTAGCCCGTGCCGCGCCCGCTTAGCCCCCTCAATCCGGCCGAACAAAAGTTGTTTCGGCATGCGGGCTACATGACCCAGCCATCGCAGCCTTGCCCGCCGGAGGAGCTCACCGATGGGACCTTGCCCAGATCTTTCAATGATTTGTGAGCTCCTCACACAATCCAGCCTGGTTAAACCCAGGATGGATCGTAGGCAGGCCAGCCTAAATGTTTCTAACCGGCGAAGATGTTCCATTAGGGGGGTCCACGTTTCGCAAGCATAGAGAAGGGAGGGAATGACCGTGGCCGAGAAGACCTGAAGCTTAGTGCGGAGCGACAGACCAGGTAGCTTCCACACAGCGTTACGCAACCGATGAAAAGATATTGCCGCTCGACTGATTCGGAGTGAGACCTCTGCTGTTAAACTGGAGCCGGTCATAAGCACACTGCCCAGGTATGGGAAACTCCCCACTCACACACAGACACAGACACACACACACAGAGACACACACACCAGCACACACAGACACACACACAGAGACACACACTAGCACACACAGATACACACACTAGCACACACAGATACACAGACACACACACAGACACACACACTAGCACACACAGACACACACACACAGACACACACACTAGCACACACAGACACACACAGAGACATACACACCAGCACACACAGACACACACAGCCACACACACCAGCACACACAGACACTCACACAGAGACACACACCAGCACACACAGACACACACACTAGCACACACAGACACATACACACACAGACACATACACACACACAGACACACACACAGACACATACACACACACAGACACATACACACACAGACACACACATACACACACACAGACATACACACACGCACTCTCAGACGCTCCACCCATCACGTGCCTCTCCCGGTCTCGTGACCAGAACCCGGACGCAGCGACGGTGAGCGGCAGCACGCGCACAGAGACACAGAGAGAGAGTTACACACACATACACACAGTGAGTTACACACAGAGACACACACAGAGAGAGTTACACACAGAGACACACACAGACACATACACACACACAGAGACACACACACAGAGAGTTACACACAGAGACACACATACATACACACACACAGAGTTACACATACATACACACACATACATACACACACATACATACACACACAGTGAGTTACACACAGAGACACACACACAGACACACACAGAGACACACACACAGACACACATACATACACACAGAGACACACACACAGAGAGTTACACACAGAGACACACACACATACATACACACAGAGACACACACAGAGAGAGTTACACACAGAGACACACTCACATACACACACAGAGACACAGAGACACACACAGAGAGAGTTACACACAGAGACACATACACACACACACAGACACACACACAGAGAGTTACACACAGAGACACACACATACATACACACACACACAGAGAGACACAGAGAGAGTTACACACAGAGACACACATACATACACACACACAGAGACACACACAGAGAGAGTTACACACAGAGACACACACACATACATACACACACAGAGACACACACAGAGAGAGTTACACACAGAGACACACACACATACATTCACACACACAGAGACACAGAGACACACACAGACACACAGAGAGAGTTACACACACACACTGAGACACACAGAGACACACAGAGAGAGAGTTACACACAGACACACACAGAGAGAGTTACACACAGAGAGAGTTACACACACAGACACACACACACAGAGACACAGAGACACACACAGAGACACACACAGACACACACAGAGACACACACAGAGACACACAGAGGGAGTTACACACAGACACACACAGAGAGAGTTAGACACAGAGACACACATACATACACACATAGAGACACAGAGAGAGTTACACACAGAGAGAGTTACACACAGAGAGAGTTACACACACAGACACACACACAGACACAGAGAGAGTTACACATACACAGAGACACACACAGAGAGAATTACACACCGAGACACACACAGACACACACAGAGAGTTACACACACATACACAGAGACACACACAGACACACACACAGAGACACACATACAGACACACACAGAGAGACACACAGAGACACACATACAGATACACACAGAGAGACACACAGAGACACACAGAGAGAGTTACACACAGAGATACACAGAGAGAGATACACACAGAGACACACACAGACACACAGAGAGAGTTACACACACACAGAGACACACACAGAGATAATTACACACACAGACACACAGAGAGTTACACACACATACACAGAGACACACAGACACACACACACAGACACACATACATACACACACAGAGAGACACACAGAGAAACACATACAGACACACACAGAGAGACACACAGAGACACACAGAGACACACAGAGAGACACACAGAGAGACACACAGAGAGAGTTACACACACAGACACAGAGATACACAGAGAGATATACACAGAGATACACACACACACAGATACACACGGAGATACACACACAGACACACACAGACACATACACAGAGAGAGTTACACACAGACACACACAGAGAGACATACACAGAGACACACACAGAGACACACACAGAGAGAGTTACACACAGACACACACAGATGCATACAGATACAGAGATACACACAGACACACACAGAGATACACACACACAGACAGATACACACAGACACACACACAGACACACACACAGAGTTACACACAGACACATACAGACACACACAGAGTTACACACACACAGACACACACACAGAGTTACACACAGACACATACAGACACACAGAGTTACAGACACAGACACACACAGGCACAGAGATACACACAGACACACACACAGAGATACACAGAGATACACACAGACAGAGATACACACACAGAGATACACACACAGAGATACGCACAGAGACACATAGACACACACACAGAGATACACACACAGAGACACACACACAGAGATACACACACAGAGATACACACACAGAGACACACACAGATATACTGTATTTAGATATACCGAGATAGAATGTACACACTGTACAGAGATACACTTAGAGTAATATCTCTACTGTATAGTGATATATACAGTGCACAGATGTAGACTATTTACACACTCAGATTTATACTTTGTAGATATACATAGAGAGAGTTACAGAGATTTATAATGACATACTTAGAGATACACACAGCATAGAGATACACTTAGAGAGATACACTTAGAGAGATACACTTAGAGATATACACACAGCATAGAGATACACTTAGAGAGATACACACAGCATAGAGATACACTTAGAGAGATACACACAGCAGAGAGATACACTTAGAGAGATAGACACAGCATAGAGATACACTTAGAGAGATACACACAGCAGAGAGATACACTTAGAGAGATACACAGCATAGAGATAGACACAGCATAGAGATACACTTAGAGAGATAGACACAGCATAGAGATACACTTAGAGAGATACACACAGCATAGAGGTACACTTAGAGAGATACACTTAGAGAGATACACTTAGAGAGATACACACAGCATAGAGATACACTTAGAGAGATACACACAGCATAGAGATACACTTAGAGAGATACACACAGCATAGAGATACATTTAGAGAGATACACACAGCATAGAGGTACACTTAGAGAGATACACACAGCATAGAGATACACTTAGAGAGATACACACAGCATAGAGATACACTTAGAGAGATACACACAGCATAGAGGTACACTTAGAGAGATACACTTAGAGAGATACACTTAGAGAGATACACACAGCATAGAGATACACTTAGAGAGATACACACAGCATAGAGATACACTTAGAGAGATACACACAGCATAGAGATACATTTAGAGAGATACACACAGCATAGAGGTACACTTAGAGAGATACACACAGCATAGAGATACACTTAGAGAGATACACACAGCATAGAGATACACTTAGAGAGATACACACAGCATAGAGATACACACAGCATAGAGATACACTTAGAGAGATACACACAGCATAGAGATACACTTAGAGAGATACACTTATAGAGATACACACAGCATAGAGATACACACAGCATAGAGATAGACACAGCATAGAGATACACTTAGAGAGATACACACAGCATAGAGATACACTTAGAAAGATACACACAGCATAGAGATACACTTAGAGAGATAGACACAGCATAGAGATACACTTAGAGAGATAGACACAGCATAGAGATACACTTAGAGAGATACACTTAGAGAGATAGACACAGCATAGAGATACACTTAGAGAGATACACTTAGAGAGATACACTTAGAGAGATACACTTAGAGAGATAGACACAGCATAGAGATACACTTAGAGAGATACACACAGCATAGAGATACACTTAGAGAGATACACACAGCATAGAGGTACACTTAGAGAGATAGACACAGCATAGAGATACACTTAGAGAGATACACACAGCATAGAGATACACTTAGAGAGATAGACACAGCAGAGAGATACACTTAGAGAGATACACACAGCATAGAGATACACACATTATAGATATACACACAGCAGAGAGATACACACAGCATAGAGATACACTTAGAGAGATAGACACAGCAGAGAGATACACTTAGAGAGATACACACAGCATAGAGATACACTTAGAGAGATACACACAGCATAGAGATACACTTAGAGAGATACACACAGCATAGAGATACACACAGCATAGAGATACACTTAGAGAGATACACACAGCATAGAGATACACTTAGAGAGATACACACAGCATAGAGATACACACAGCATAGAGATACACTTAGAGAGATACACACAGCATAGAGATACACTTAGAGAGATAGACACAGCATAGAGATACACTTAGAGAGATACACACAGCATAGAGATACACTTAGAGAGATACACACAGCATAGAGGTACACTTAGAGAGATACACACAGCATAGAGATACACACAGCTTAGAGATACACTTAGAGAGATACACTTAGAGAGATACACACAGCATAGAGATACACTTAGAGAGATACACACAGCATAGAGATACACTTAGAGAGATACACACAGCATAGAGATACACTTAGAGAGATACACACAGCATAGAGGTACACTTAGAGAGATACACACAGCATAGAGATACACACAGCATAGAGATACACACAAGTAAAACCTTGGATTGCGAGTAACTTTGACTGCGAGTGTCTTGCAACAACACGGAGCAGCGCACGTGTAGACACGCTTTGCACTGGCCGTGCGTCACGTGATCACGACTGATGACCGCGTGCTTTGGATTACAATCACGTTTCCGGAACGAATCAGTATACTAGTAAAAACCTTGGGTTGCGGGCAATGATTCTTTCCGGAAACGGATTTGTAATCCAAAGCACTCGTACATCAGTCGTGATCACGTGACGCACGGCAGTACAAAGCGTGTCTACGCTCGCAGACCAAGTTACTCGCAATCCAAGGTGTTCACTCTGTGTGTGTACTGTGTGTATATATATAGATACACGTAGATATATAGACGTATCCATAGAGGTTAAATGCTATGTACATGGATACATATGTACATGGATACAACAACAACCGCCATTCGCCACTAAGTGGCGGTGATGTCACCACGGCAATTGTGCCAGGCTAGGTGCACGTTGAGGCCACGAGAAGTGTCGAACGGCCGTTGGCAGGAGGTCACGGCGTAGACCCAGCAGGTTGCCGTGAGTGGCCGATGCACCACCTGTGCCCCCTGCTGTGCCAACCTGCTGTGTTTTAGCCGCCCGGCGCTCCGCTCGTTGTTGTGAGCGTTGCTCCTCTGCCCTCCGTTGTTGTTGGAGGGCGACTGCCTCCAACTGCCCAGTAGCAGCGTCCTTCACGAGCCTCCTCCACAGAGGCCGATCTTGACACCGCTGGTACTGGTCATCGGCAAGTCCACTCAGCTCCACGTCCTCCTGTACCACATCACTCCATCTCTTCTCCAACCTGTGCCATGCCCGTTTAGCCCTCTCTATCCGGGTGAACAAAAGCTGTTTCGGCATGCGGTGGCTGGGCATGCGGGCTACATGACCCAGCCAACGCAGCTTTGCCTGTCGGAGGAGCTCACCGATGGGACTATGCCCAGATCTTACAAGGATTTGTGAGCTCCTCACAATCCAGCCTGGTTAAACCCAGGATGGATCGTAGGCAGGCCAGCCTAAATGTTTCTAACCGGCGAAGATGTTCCATTAGGGGGGTCCACGTTTCGCAAGCATAGAGAAGGGAGGGAATAACTGTGGCCGAGAAGACCTGAAGCTTAGTGCGGAGCGACGGACCAGGTAGCTTCCACACAGCATTACGTAACTGATGAAAAAATAATTCCGCTCGACTGATTCGGAGTGAGACCTCTGCTGTTAAACTGGAGCCGGTCATAAGCACACTGCCCAGGTATGGGAAACTCGCGACAATGTCCACAACTGCCCAATCACCAATTTGGAGTTGTGGGGTGGAGTGTCCGATGGTACAAAATATCCAGGCAGGTGCTTAGTTTTGGTGAGCAGCAATCACCAGATCATCGCCATTCATAAGATGGCTGACCAATAGGGAGCCATCCCTTGACCGCACCCGGGCATCGATCAGCCTCCCATTGTATCTGTACCAGATGGAAATTCTTCCGGTACAGCTATTGAAGGCTTCACGAACTACGCGGTCGAAATAGATGTGAAATAATGTGGGAGCCAAAGGACATCCCTGTCGCACCCCAAGGTGAACAGGGAATGACTCCGACTCCCAGCCACGTAGTTTTACCCGGGTCCGCTCACCATCATGAAGGTCCTTAATGATCGTAAGCAGAGAGTCATTGACTCAGAAAGCACGAAGAACAACCCAGAGCCCAGGCCTAGTGATGGTATCATAGGCCTTGACCAGGTCAATAAAGCAGAGATGTAGGTCTTGTAGGAATTCCCTACACCTCTGCTGTTGCAGACAGAAAATATTGCATCTGTTCAGGACCACTCTTTCCTGAAACCGCATTGGGGCTCCGCAAGCCTCGCCTCAGCGTGCCTGGCAAGGCGATGTTGAATAATCCTTGCCAGGACCTTTCCCGGCACACTGAGGAGTGAGATGCCCCTGTAGTTGTTACAGTGTGTGCGGTCCCCCTTCTTAAAGAGGGGGACCACCAGGGCATCCTTCCAATCCTGCAGAACCCGTCCAGTGGTCCAGACTGTTGTTATGATGTCATGTAGGGCAGTCTGCACACAAACGCCACCCTCCCCTCAGTATTTCGCTTGGGAGATCATCTCTGCCCGGTGCTTTTCCTGGTCTCAGACTCTGGATCGCCTTCAGTACTTCCTCAACAGATGGCACCTCAGCCAGCCACTCACAGGGGGCGACTTTTTCTTCTAATATTTGAGGCACCCCAGCGTCTGCAGGGTCATCCCCATTTGTTCTAGCAGATGTTCTTGCTTGGACCCGGCGTGCATCCACGATGCCAAAGCCGGTCATTAGCACGCTGCCCAGGTATGGAAAACTCGCTATCCTGCCCACAATTACCCCATTACCAATTGGGAGTTGTGGGGGTGGAGTGTCTGATGGTACAAAATACACATGATGCACGCCGGATCCTGAAGAGTGGCAGCCTCTCATCCCCAGTGAGCGTTCGAACATTCCACCCACAGTGGCTTTTTTGCTGTTTCTGGAGGAGCCCCGAGGGTAAGGATTCAGTCTCCCGGCTCCGCCAAATGGGGTTTAGCCATGAGACGTCATGGACGCCTGTCCCCACGGGGCCTCCGGCGAAAGCCTAATTGGATCTTTATTCCGTGGTTTAGTGGGAATTTATTCGAAGTTGGAGGGGGTTACACCAGCCCATCGCACCCGTCCAGAGCCCCCTTTGGCGGCTGTGGTGGCGACAAACGCCATGAGGGGAATGGCCACTCTAAGTTGGCCCTCCCCCCTCCACGGCACCGCTCACCCACAGCGTTGCCGTATGGCACCAACGAGGAGGCACACACCCCGACAGCACGCTGGTGGGGCGAGCGTTGGGAGGTGTTGAGTGGCCAGCACCTCAACCACCACCAGCACCACTACCTCCAGTACCAGCACCACCACCACCAGCACTACCACCACCAGCACTACCACCTCCAGTACCAGCACCGCTACATCCACCAGCGCCACCACCAACACCACCACCTTCAGCACCGCTACAACCACCAGCACCTCAACCACCAGCACCACCACCTCCAGTACCAGCACCACCAACACCAGCACTACCACCACCAGCACCTCAACCACCACTAGCACTGCCACTACCACCACCACCTCTACCACCACCAGCACCACCACTACCACCACCACTATCTCTACCATCACCACTACCACCACCACCTCTACCACCTCTACCACCACCACCTCTACCACCACCAGCACCACCAGCACCACCAGGACCACCACTACCACCACCACTACCTCTACCACCACCACCTCTACCTCCACCAGCACCACCAGCACCACCACTACCACCACCACTACCTCTACCACCACGAGCACCACCACTACCACCACCACTACCTCTACCAGCTCTACCACCATCAGCACCACCACTACCACCACCACTACCTCTACCACCTCTACCACCACCACCAGCTCATCCACAACCAGCACCAGAACCACCACCACGCCCGGCCACCTTTGTCTCCCCGTGGTGGATGCAGGACAGACGTGGCGATAGCTGCGACGATGACGCCGCTGGTGCTGGTGGTGGTGGTCATTGCCATGGTGACCGCAGTGAGCGTGGAGGCAGCGCCAAGCATGGAGACCACGAGTGAGGACTGGGGGTGTGGTAGTGGTGGTGACTCAACACTGCCCATAGACTCAACACTGCACCATAGACTCAACACTGCCCATAGACTCAACACTGCACCATAGACTCAACACTGCACCATAGACTCAACACTGCCCATAGACTCAACACTGCACCATAGACTCAACACTGCACCATAGACTCAACACTGCAACAAAGACTCAACACTGCACCATAGATTCAACACTGCACCTTAGACTCAACACTGCACCATAGACTCAACACTGCACCATAGACTCAACACTGCCCCATAGACTCAACACTGCACCATAGACTCAACACTGCCATAGACTCAACACTGCCATAGACTCAACACTGCACCATAGACTCAACACTGCCCATAGACTCAACACTGCACCATAGACTCAACACTTCCCATAGACTCAACACTGCACCACAGACTCAACACTGCACCACAGACTCAACACTGCACCACAGACTCAGCACTGCACCACAGACTCAACACTGCACCATAGACTCAACACTGCACCATAGACTCAACACTGCACCACAGACTCAACACTGCACCATAGACTCAACACTGCACCATAGACTCAACACTGCACCATAGACTCAACACTGCACCATAGACTCAACACTGCACCGTAGACTTAACACTGCACCGTAGACTCAACACTGCACCATAGACTCCACCATAGACTCAACATTGCCCATAGACTCAACACTGCCATAGACTCAACACTGCATCATAGACTCAACACTGCACCGTAGACTCAACACTGCACCATAGACTCAACACTGCCCACAGACTCAACACTGCACCACAGACTCAACACTGCCCATAGACTCAACACTGCACCACAGACTCAACACTGCACCACAGACTCAACACTGCACCATAGACTCAACACTGCACCATAGACTCAACACTGCACCGTAGACTCAACACTGCACCATAGACTCAACCCTGCACCATAGACTCAACATTGCCCATAGACTCAGCACTGCACCATGGACTCAACACTGCCCATAGACTCAACACTGCATCATAGACTCAACACTGCACCGTAGACTCAACACTGCACCATAGACTCAACCCTGCACCATAGACTCAACATTGTCCATAGACTCAGCACTGCACCATGGACTCAACACTGCCCATAGACTCAACACTGCATCATAGACTCAACACTGCACAATAGACTCAACACTGCACCATAGACTCAACACTGCACAGTAAACTCAACACTGCACCATAGACTCAACCCTGCACCATAGACTCAACATTGCCCTTAGACTCAGCACTGCACCATGGACTCAACACTGCCCATAGACTCAACACTGCATCATAGACTCAACACTGCACAATAGACTCAACACTGCACCATAGACTCAACACTGCACCATAGACTCAACACTGCATCATAAACTCAACACTGCACCATAGACTCAGCACTGCCCATAGACTCAACACTGCACCGTAGACTCAACGCTGCACAATAGACTCAACACTGCACCATAGACTCAACACTGCCCCATAGACTCAACACTGCACCATAGACTCAGCACTGCCCATAGACTCAACACTGCACCGTAGACTCAACACTGCCATAGACTCAACACTGCCATAGACTCAACACTGCACCATAGACTCAACACTGCCATAGACTCAACACTGCCATAGACTCAACACTGCACCATAGACTCAACACTGCACCATAGACTCAACACTGCACCATAGACTCAACACTTCCCATAGACTCAACACTGCACCACAGACTCAACACTGCACCACAGACTCAACACTGCACCACAGACTCAGCACTGCACCACAGACTCAACACTGCACCATAGACTCAACACTGCACCATAGACTCAACACTGCACCACAGACTCAACACTGCACCATAGACTCAACACTGCACCATAGACTCAACACTGCACCATAGACTCAACACTGCACCATAGACTCAACACTGCAACGTAGACTTAACACTGCACCGTAGACTCAACACTGCACCATAGACTCCACCATAGACTCAACATTGCCCATAGACTCAACACTGCCATAGACTCAACACTGCATCATAGACTCAACACTGCACCGTAGACTCAACACTGCACCATAGACTCAACACTGCCCACAGACTCAACACTGCACCACAGACTCAACACTGCCCATAGACTCAACACTGCACCACAGACTCAACACTGCACCACAGACTCAACACTGCACCATAGACTCAACACTGCACCATAGACTCAACACTGCACCGTAGACTCAACACTGCACCATAGACTCAACCCTGCACCATAGACTCAACATTGCCCATAGACTCAGCACTGCACCATGGACTCAACACTGCCCATAGACTCAACACTGCATCATAGACTCAACACTGCACAATAGACTCAACACTGCACCATAGACTCAACACTGCACAGTAAACTCAACACTGCACCATAGACTCAACCCTGCACCATAGACTCAACATTGCCCTTAGACTCAGCACTGCACCATGGACTCAACACTGCCCATAGACTCAACACTGCATCATAGACTCAACACTGCACAATAGACTCAACACTGCATCATAAACTCAACACTGCACCATAGACTCAGCACTGCCCATAGACTCAACACTGCACCGTAGACTCAACGCTGCACAATAGACTCAACACTGCACCATAGACTCAACACTGCACCATAGACTCAGCACTGCCCATAGACTCAACACTGCACCGTAGACTCAACACTGCCATAGACTCAACACTGCCATAGACTCAACACTGCCCATAGACTCAACACTGCCATAGACTCAACACTGCACCATAGACTCAACACTGCACCATAGACTCAACACTGCACCATAGACTCAACACTGCACCATAGACTCAACACTGCACCATAAACTCAACACTGCACCATAGACTCAACACTGCACTAAGACTCAACACTGCCCCATAGACTCATCACTGCCCATAGACTCAACACTGCAACAAAGACTCAACCCTGCACCATAGACTCAACATTGCACCATAGACTCAACACTGCACCATAGACTCAACACTGCACCATAGACTCAACACTGCACCATAGACTCAACACTGCCATAGACTCAACACTGCACAATAGACTCAGCACTGCACCATAGACTCAACACTGCACCATAGACTCAACACTGCCATAGACTCAACACTGCCATAGACTCAACACTGCACCATAGACTCAACACTGCCATAGACTCAACACTGTACCATAGACTCAACACTGCACCATTGACTCAACACTGCAACAAAAACTATTTTGGGGACTGCAGGGGTACTGTAACCCCCTCCCTCCCGTGGACTCTCCCCCCCCCCCCCGCGTCTCCGTGCCAGATGGAACATTCCGCTTCGCCTCCTACTACGGGGACCACATGGTCCTGCAGAGGGAACCAAGCGGCGCCCCCGTGTGGGGGTTTGGCAGCCCCGGCGCCCGCGTGGTGGTGGTGCTCTACCGGGGCGGCGCCGAGGGGGAGGGACCGAGGATGCTGGTGCAGAGGCACGAGGCCAACGTGTCGACAGGTCCACACGCCCCTCACTCACGACTCTAGACTCTAGACTCACAGACTCACTCACGACTCTAGACTCTAGACTCACTCTAGACTCTAGACTCACTCTAGACTATAGACTCACTCACAGACTCACTCTAGACTCCAGACTCACTCACAGACTCACTCTAGACTCAGAGACTCAGAGACTCACTCTAGATTCACTCAGAGACTCACTCAGAGACTCACTCACAGACTCACTCTAGACTCAGAGACTCAGAGACTCACTCTAGATTCACTCAGAGACTCACTCAGAGACTCACTCAGAGACTCAGAGACTCACTCTAGACTCACTCTAGACTCTAGACTCATTCACAGACTCACTCAGAGACTCAGAGACTCACTCTAGACTCACTCAGAGACTCACTCAGAGACTCACTCAGAGACTCAGAGACTCACTCTAGACTCACTCAGAGACTCACTCAGAGACTCACTCAGAGACTCAGAGACTCACACAGAGACTCACTCTAGACTCACTCTAGACTCTAGACTCACTCACAGACTCACTCAGAGACTCACTCTAGACTCACTCAGATACTCACTCAGAGACTCAGAGACTCACACAGAGACTCAGAGACTCACTCTAGACTCACTCACAGACTCAGAGACTCACTCACAGACTCACTCACAGACTCACTCAGAGACTCACTCAGAGACTCACTCATAGACTCACTCACAGACTCACTCTAGACTCTAGACTCACACACAGACTCACTCAAAGACTCACTCAGAGACTCACTCAGAGACTTACTCAGAGACTCACACAGAGACTCACTCAGAGACTCACACACAGACTCACTCACAGACTCACTCAGAGACTCATTCACAGACTCACACACAGACTCACTCAGAGACTCACACACAGACTCACTGAGAGACTCACTCACAGACTCACACAGAGACTCACTCTAGACTCTCACTCTAGACCCTCTCTCGCTCTAGACTCACAACAGGCATCGTCAGGGGTTGGGATCGAACCCACGACCTCCTGTAGACCAGGCGAGATAGTTAACATCTCAACGGGTAGGGAGACACTCAAACTCCAAAGTACAGATAGTCCCAGACTAACGCTGGTCCGACTTACGACATTTCGATCTCACGATGGCGATTAGCGACACGACAAAATTGTAAGCTACTTTTAATTTCGAGCGGCAGGCAAACGCGGCAGCAGCGTTGCTACCAGGTAACGACACTGTAACTTTATCGTCGCCATCCCCCTCTTCCGACAACTAAGCTAATGTAGCCGTTGACAACCTAAACATCGTTCAAGTTTGCAGACGACGGACCGGATCTTGTGGTGAGTACAGTGAAACGTGACTGCAGGAATTACACTTTGGTTTTTTCGGTAAAGTCACGTAGAAATAATAATAAAATTAATTATATAATAGCACACGACGTTTCGATTGCAACACAGGCAATCATCATCAGGTACAGAATTAACACAGGCACATCAGGGGACATAGAGAGAGGCGGAGGAGCACACTAAATCAAACAGGGTTTAGCAAAAATTATGAAACTATATAAAGCAACACACACGGTCGGTTAAAACACAATTAACGCATGGTCTGGTTGATTACGCTATTTCGAAGATTGCTAAATTGTAAGTTAAGTGTGAAATTTAAGAGAAGTGATAGAACACAGATCGCAAAGAGACATATGGTGAGAGACGCGCACACAGAGAGACACGCGTCACGATACGTTGAATGCGTGTGTGATACGCAGCTTTAGCGATTTCATTTTAGCGTTACCCTGTACGACCTCCGTGACCTCCTCCGTGACCTCCTGCATGACCTCCTTGGCCTCTGTGACCTCCTCTGTTACCTCTTCGGTGACCTCCTGCATGACCTCCTTGGCCTCTGTGACCTCTGTTACCTCCTCGGTGACCTCCTGCATGACCTCGACCTCCGTGACCTCAGTGACCTCTGTGACATCCATGACCTGCATGACCTATTCGACTTCCGTGACCTCCTGCATGACCTCCTGCATTACCTCTTCGACCTCCGTGACCTCCTCTGTGACCTCTGTGACCTCCTTGACCTCCCGCATGACCTCCTGCATGACCTCTTCGACCTCCGTGACCTCCTCTGTGACCTCCGTGACCTCCTGCACGACCTCCGTGACCTCCCCCGTGACCTCCGTGACCTCCCCTGTGACCTCCCCCGTGACCTCCGTGACCTCCGTCCCCAGGGCTGGGCACGTGGTTCGTGACCCTGAAACCCACGGCGGCGGGCGGCCCTTACTCTCTGGAGGCCACGGAGCTGGAGGCGTCGTGGGGGGCCGCCCCGAGGGGCCGGGGTCTCCGCGTCACGCTGAGCGACGTGCTCTTTGGCGACGTGTGGCTCTGCGGGGGGCAGAGCAACATGGAGATGACCGTGAAGCAGGTGGGGGTGGGGTGGGTGGGGTGCGGTGGGTGGGGTGGGGTGGGTGGGGTGGAGTGGGTGGGGTGGGTGGGGTGGGGTGGGGTGGGTGGGGTGGGTGGGGTGGGGTGGGTGGGGGGGGTGAGTGGGTGGGGGGGTGCCCTGCCTCACCCCTAGTCACTACCCCACACTATATGTTCCCCCAGGCCCGGGTAAAACTACGTGGCCGGGAGTCGGAGCCATTCCCTGTACACCTTGGGGTGCGTGGTTCGTGAAGCCTTCAATAGCTGTACCGGGGGAATCTCCATTTGGTACAGATATAATGGGAAGCTGATCGATGCCCGGGTGCGGTCAAGGGATGGCTCCCTATTGGTCAACCATGTTATGTATGCCGATGATTTGGTAATTGCGGCTCACTCAGAGGAGGAGTTGGAGGCGCTGCTGCTGAACATGGAGCTTGCCACCAAGAGGTGGGGCCCTACCATCAGCCCCACCAAAACAAAGCACCTGCCTGGGTATTTTGTACGAACTCCCAATCGGTGATGGGGCAATTGTGAAGAGAGTGGAGAGTTTCCCATACCTGAGCAGTGTGCTCATGACCGGCTCTGGTTTAACAGCAGAGGTCTCACTCCGAATCAGTCGAGCGGCAATATCTTTTCATCGGTTGCGTAACGCTGTGTGGAAGCTACCTGGTCTGTCGCTCCGCACTAAGCATCAGGTCTTCTCGGCCACGGTCATTCCCTCCCTTCTCTACGCTTGCGAAACGTGGACCCCCGTAATGGAACATCTTCGCCGGTTAGAATCATTTAGGCTGGCCTGCCTACGATCCATCCTGGTTTTAACCAGGCTGGATTGTGTGAGGAGCTCACACATCCTCGAAAGATCTGGGCAAGGTCCCATCGGTGAGCTCCTACGGTGGGGAAGGCTGTGTTGGCTGGGTCATGTAGCCCGCATGCCCAGCCACCGCATGCCCAAACAGCTTTTGTTCGGCCGGATTGAGGGGGCTAAACGGGCGCGGCACGGGCTAGAGAAGAGATGGAGTGATGTGGTACAGGAGGATGTGGAGCTGAGTGGATTTGCCGATGACTGGTACCAGCGGTGTCAAGATTGGCCTCTGGAGGAGGCTCGTGAAGGACGCTACTGGGCAGTTGGAGGCAGTCGCTCTCCAACAACAACGGAGGGCAGAGGAGCGACGCTCACAACAACGAGTGGAGCGCCGGGTGGCTAAAGCACAGCAGGTTGGCACAGTAGGGGGCACAGGTGGTGCATCAGTCAGTCGACCCGTGGCACCTGGGTCTGCCCTGTGACCTCCTGCCAGCGATCGTTCGACACTTCACGTGGTCTCAAGGTGCACATAGCCTGGCACAAGTGTCGTGGTGACATCACCGACACTTAGTGACGATTGGCAGTTGTTGTTGTTGTGTGTGTGTGAGTCTGTCTATGCGTCTGTGTGTCTGTGTGTGTCTGTGTGTGTCTGTGTGTCTGTGTGTGTGTGTGTTCTGTGTGTGTGTCTGTGTGTCAATGTGTGTGTGTGTCTGTGTGTGTGTCTGTGTGTGTCTATGTCTGTGTGTGTCTGTGTGTGTGTGTCTGTGTCTGTGTGTGTCTGTGTGTGTGTGTCTGTGTGTGTGTGTGTTCTGTGTGTGTGTCTGTGTGTGTCTGTGTGTCAATGTGTGTGTGTGTCTGTGTGTGTGTTTGTGTGTGTGTCTATGTGTGTGTGTGTGTGTCTGTCTGTGTGTGTCTGTGTGTGGCCTGGCGTCGTGGTGACGTCACCGCCACTTAGTGGCGAATGGCGGTTGTTGTTTGTTGTTGTTGTTGTTGTGTGCACCACAGGTAATGAACGCCAGCTGGGAGCTGGCTCAAGCCTGGCGCTATCCCCGCATCCGTCTCTTCGCCGTGGCGCTGGAGCAGTCGACGCGGCCGCTGACCGACCTCTCGCGAGTCGACCTCCCCTGGAGCATCCCCACGGCCGGTGGGGGGGGGCTTGGGGGGTGGGGGGCGGGGGCGTGGGGGGGTTAAAGATGGGGGGGGGGGTGGAGGTCACGAGGTGGGGGGGTCACGGAGGGGTCACAGAATAGTGGGTGGGAGTTCACAGATATCTCTCTCTGTCTCTGTCTCTCTGTCTCTGTATCTGTATCTCTCTCTGTCTCTCTCTCTGTATCTGTATCTCTCTCTGTCTCTGTATCTCTCTCTCTGTATCTCTGTCTCTCTCTCTCTGTGTCTCTGTCTCTGTCTCTCTCTCTGTCTCTGTCTCTCTGTCTCTGTATCTGTCTCTGTATCTGTATCTCTCTCTGTCTCTCTCTCTGTATCTGTATCTCTCTCTGTCTCTGTATCTCTCTCTCTCTGTATCTCTGTCTCTCTCTCTCTGTGTCTCTGTCTCTGTCTCTCTCTCTGTCTCTGTCTCTCTCTCTCTGTATCTCTCTCTGTCGCTGTATCTCTGTCTCTGTATCTCTCTCTGTCTCTGTATCTCTCTCTGTCTCTGTATCTCTCTCTGTCTCTGTATCTCTCTCTGTCTCTCTATCTGTCTCTCTGTCTCTATTTCTGTCTCTCTCTGTCTCTGTATCTCTGTTTGTCTCTGTCTCTCTCTGTCTCTGTATCTCTCGCTGTCTCTGTCTCTCTCTCTATCTCTGTATCTCTCTCTGTATCTCTCTCTGTCTCTGTATCTTTGTCTCTGTCTCTCTCTCTCTCTGTCTCTCTCTCTGTCTCTGTCTCTCTGTTTGTCTCTGTCTCTCTCTGTCTCTGTATCTCTCTCTGTCTCTGTCTCTCTCTCTGTCTCTGTATCTCTCTCTCTGTCTCTGTATCTCTCTGTCTCTGTATCTGTCTCTGTATCTCTCTGTCTCTGTATCTCTCTCTGTATCTCTATCTATGTATCTCTGTCTCTGTGTCTCTGTCTCTCCCTGCCGCCGTGCGTAGAGAACCTGGGCGAGGGAGACTTCTCCGTCTTCTCCGCCGTCTGCTGGCTGTTCGGCCGCGACCTCCAGCGCGCCCTGACGAGCCGCGGGGCGGCCGCCACGGTGCCCGTGGGCCTCGTGCAGTCCTGTTGGGGCGGCACCCCTGTGGAGGCCTGGTCGTCACCGCAGGCCCTTGCACGTTGTGGCCTGCACGCCCGGCACGCCCCGCACGCCCGGCACGCGCCCGGAGGCTACGGCGACGCCGACGCCGCCGCCGCCAGGTTCAGATCATCGAAGGGCGTTTTGGCTGCTGCTGGAATTGTCCATACGAGTAGCCGGTGTGGCGGTGTAGTATCGTGAACGTCGCCACTGGGGAGACAAAGGCGGCCGGGCGTAGTGGTGCTGGCCACCCACCCCCCTCCGTGTGCAGTTACGGCCTTCATAGGTGCTGCTCGCTAACAGCACTTGCCCCGACGGTGTGTTACAGGCTACACGGGGGATTTTTGTCTTGTGTGTACGTACGCATGTATCTGTGTCCGTGGATGTTTCTAACTAAACTTGTGCCGGAGGCTCCGGGGGGGACAGGCGTCTGTGACGTCTCCTGGCCAAACCCCATTTGGCGGAGCCAGGAGACTGAATCCTTACCCTCGGGGCTCCTCCAGAAGCAGCGAAAAGCCGCTGCGGGTGGCCACGTGGAATGTTCGAATGCTCACTGCAGAGGAGAGGCTGCCACTCCTCTGTCGGGAGCTTGTCCGGTACCGCCTAGATCTCCGCGGTATTCAGGAGGTCCGGTGGACCGGTTCTGGCTCCTGCCACCATGAGGGGTGGACAGTCCTCTACTCGGGGCAGGAGACTGCCAAACAACAGGGTGTGGCTCTTCTTCTGAACAAAAGAATGAAGGGGGCGTGGGAGCGTGGCGGTGAGGTGTGGGAAGCTGTAAGCCCCAGGATACTTTGGGCTCGCCTTCCCATCAACCAGAGGCGAGGAGTGGTGGTCGCGGTTACTTATTCCCCCACCGAAGACGAACATCCGTGGAGGGATGCAGGCAAGGCCGATGAGCCAGATGCCTTCTATGACCTCCTGTCACAGGTGCTGGCTAAAGTGGCCCCTCGGGATAGAGTCATCTTCTTGGGTGACTTCAATGCCCGAGTTGGTCATGATGTTGGCACCTGGTCTGGAGTGATTGGAAGGCATGGGCCAGATCAGCTCAATAACAACGGCAGGAGGCTGCTAGATTGTTGTGCAGCCCATGGGCTTGTAATTACCAACACGCTGTTCCGGCATCGGCACATCCACACAACATCATGGATGCACACCGGGTCCAAGCAAGAACATCTGCTGGACTACATAGTGACGGACCAGCGGATGCGAGCCCATGTCCTTGACACCAGGACCTACCGTGGAGCTGATCTGCCCGCTGACCATCGACTTGTCATCTGTAAGATGCTCCTGCCACTCTTCTACTCTGGTGGTGGGTGTACACCCAGGACCCCATTCAAACTCATAGTGGCATGGTCTCAGCTAGCTGATGAAAGTTGCAAGCGAGAATTTCATAATCGCTTGCGGCTGGGATTGGCATCGTCCCCGACTCCTCCTGATGTCGAGGGTAAATGGGCGAGGTTTAGGACTGTGACTGATGCAGCTGCAATGGCTGCTTTGGGTACGCGGTCCAGACCTCCCCAGAGACCCTGGCTGACAGAGGAGGTGTTCAGGATGCTTGAGAAAAAGCGACAGGCCCACTGTCATCGGCTACAGAATCCCACGTTAGAGAATGAGGAGGCTTACCGCAGCCTTCGCTCGGAGGTTCGGAGAGCCGTGAGGCGCTGCAAGGATGGGTGGTGGTCGCGGGTTGCTGAGGAGATGGAGTCTGCCTCAGTGGCCCGTGATCACAAATCTCTATTTAACTCCATCAAAAAAGTAACCTGCAGCGCCACACCTATTACCATCATTAGGGGAAAAAACGGTGATCCAATCTCCGACCCCCAGGAACAGGTTCGCAGATTTGCTGAGCATTTCTGTGAGGTCCTGGGGAGGGAAAATCCCACAGCCAGGAAAACATCGTGGCACAAGGTGAGGATGACCCTGCTGAGGCTGCGGTGCCTCAAATATTGGAAGAAGTCACCCCCTGTGAGTGGCTGGCTGAGGTGCCATCTGCTGAGGAAGTATTGAAGGCGATCCGGAGTCTGAGACCAGGAAAGGCAGCGGGCAGAGATGATCTCCCAAGCGAAATGCTGAGGGAGGGTGGCGTTTGTGCACAGACTGCCCTATATGACATCATAACAACAGTCTGGACCACTGGACGGGTTCCGCAGGATTGGAAGGATGCCCTGGTGGTCAATGGCGGAGCCAGGATTTTCAAGTAGGGGGGGCAACCCCTCCAGCAATGAATAATAATAGCGGAGTTGTTAGTAAGTAAGGAGTTGTCAGTAAGTAAGGAGTTAGTAAGTAAGGAGTTGTTAGTAAGGAGTTGTTAGTAAGTAAAGACTTGTTAGTGAGTACGGAGTTGTTAGTAAGGAGTTGTTAGTAAGGACTTGTTAGTGAGTTAGGAGTCAGTAAGTACAGAGCTGTTAGTAAGGAGTTGTAACTAAGTAAAGACTTGTTAGTGAGTAAGGAGTTGTTAGTAAGTACGGAGTTGTTAGTAAAGAGTTGTTAGTAAGTAAAGACTTGTTAGTGAGTAAGGAGTTGTTAGTAAGTAAGGAGTTGTCAGTAAGTAAGGAGTTGTTAGTAAGTAAGGAGTTGTTAGTAAGGAGTTGTTAGTAAGTAAAGACTTGTTAGTGAGTAAGGAGTTGTTAGTAAGTACGGAG